CAAAAGTAAAATATAACTATAATAGAATAGCCGAAGCTAAACTGCCTCGCCATCAACCTACGACTCTCCGGGCTCCAGGCTCATTACCTGAAAGGGGGAGGGACAACGAGCGTTAAAGCGCTAGCGAGCAATATCACAACCAGCCCCAAGGAAAAGGGCTCATTGTATGTAGAAAATACAGTTATAATATATATATAAAATCACAAATCCTATTTAGGAAATTACAACGTAAGCATAAGTAAGTCGAGCGAAATAATCCAAACAAGAAAACCCTCATGTATATACCATGTAGCTCAGATTGTAAGTACCTAGGTATAAGAGGATTTTAGTATCTAGGAAGTTACAACACGAGCATAGGTACGTCGAGCGAAATAATCCAAATAAGAAAACCCTCATGTATATACCATGTAGCTCAGATTGTAAATCCCTAAATACCAAACCCAAAATTTAATGCAAGAACAAATAACTTAAAAGAATACAAAACCCATCTCTACTTCCAAACATAATATCATGTCGAACTCACATGAGTGTCATGTGAGAAAAACGATTAAGTGTCCAGCACATAGACTATATAGATTAAATGTCCAACACATGGACTGCATGAAGTAAACGTCCAACACATGGACTGAAAGTAACGAGTGTCCAACGCATGGACTGAATATAACCAATGTCCAACGCATGGACTGAATATAACCAATGTCCAACGCATGGACTAAATGTAACCAATGTCTAACGCATAGACTAAATATAACCGATGTCCAACGCATGGACTAAATATAACCGATGTCCAACGCATGGACTGAATATAACCAATGTCCAACGCATGGACTAAATGTAAATTAAGCAAAGTGTAAGTGTCGATGATACATGTATACACAAAAGATACACATAGGCTCATGTCACACGTGCCTCGGTGTGCGGATCAGTACTTGTGTCAAAAGTCAACTCACATGTACAGATAAATTACTAACATTATAAACTAGTGTCAGATAATCGAGGCGACCCCGAAAAACAACTCAAACAGATCAAAAATCTATAAAACACCACATCAGTCGACTCATGAGTCGACTAGGATTGGTCGACTCATTGGTCAACCAGACAAAACATAAAAAAAAAACTAAACACTTTCCCGTCAGTCGACTCATTAGTCGAGTCATGAGTCGACTCATAAGTCGACTCATGAGTCGACTCATTGGTCGACTGAACAGAAAATCCCCAGTTTTCTGCTTACGATGATTATCTGCGAAAATTGATAAAAACTAAGGTTCTCTTTGTTCAGGTCCAGCAATGTATATTCAATTCTAACACATGTATATCAACAGAAAAGAAAGATTTGCATGTATTATTTTGTATTAAAACCCTAAACATATTTCTTCATGTTTAAAAACGCGTTTAAAACATTAAATCACATGAAACCCATATTTAAGACTAATTCCAGATCTGGATCTATATTACAAAAACATTGGTGAGCTTTTTACTAACTGTAAAATATAGATCTTGCAGCTTAGAATGTAAAGCATCTACTTTTATACAAAAAATATGTTTTAGGCTCAAAAATCCGAAATAAAAACTCATAGAAACTATACAAACAGTGGGTGAGGGCTGGGCGAGATGTTACTCACCTCTGATATGATGCACAAACTCCTGGATCTGCCAAAGCACGATCTCCTCCGCTGCACTGCACGAAATCCCGTGCAAACTCCTTCGAGAAATCCCCCAAAAATCGCCAAAAACGAACTAGGGTTTTGAGGGGAGAGAGAGGCTAGGGTTTCTCTGATAATTGATGGGTTTTTGGGTTGGTTTCGGGTAGGAGAGATTTTATATAAGCGGTCAAACCCAAAATAAAACCAACCCAACCCACAAATAAAAGAAAAGCTGGAAATTAGCCCGTCAGTTGACTCATAGGTCGACTCATCAGTCGACTCATTAGTCGACTCATGAGTCGACTCATAAGTCGACTGAGCAGACATTTATTTTTAGATTCGTGCATGTTTTGTTATTCAGCCAAAACCAATGCACGAACTCTATGAAACCACACTTATGCATGTCAAGAAACTTGCTACCAAGTATATCCTTGACCTCAAGTCATTTACCACACATAGAACTATTTATCACTAATAGTTCACATATACTTCTAATAAAATACGGGGTTTTACAGTTAGTATTAAAGGACATTGATGTGTGAAGAAATTATTAGTTTTATTTCAATGCCAAAAAGATACCTTTTAGATAAAAATTGTCAAAAAGATATTAATGTGTGTTTCATTTTGGTTATATATGTTGTCAAATTATAATCTATATCTACATATATATATTTATATTGTTATAATGAGCAAACTTGGCGAACTATTTTTAAAAGCATAAAGATGGAGCGGCTCAGTTAGTCACATGGCGCCATAAAAAAAACATAAAGACATGTCATGTGTTAAAAATTGTCATGTGCCCATCAATTCTATCAGAAAGAATCATCATCAAGTTAACATTATTCCTAACTTTCCTTTATATATAAGAATATTCTTTGAGATTAGAAAATTATCAATTGTCTAATCTAAGAACTTCAACAACCCCATGAAAATTTAAAAATTACTAACAAAACTTTGAGATTCAAACACTATGAACAACCTAAAAATCTTAACATCCGAATAGGTCTATGAAAAATCAAAAAATTACAAACAACCTATTACGATTCAAAAATTATAAGTTATAAATTATAAATAAACATTAGAAAAATCCAACAATAACAAATACCACCGTAAAATTTAATAAATTATAAACCGCCACCTTAAAATCTAAAAATTATAAGCAATACCTAAAATATTCACCGTTACAAACAATCTTCTAAAATGTTAAAAAGTTATAAATATCCCCCCAAAAAGTTTGCAAACAATCCCCCTAAAAGTTTTACAACTAGCCCCTTGAAAGTTTTTGAAACTACAAATATCCCCTTTAAAAATTTTACAAATAAGCTTTTAAAATTTTTATAGCTAACCCTATGATAGCTGCTAAAATAATAAACATCCAACTTAAATTTTTTAAATATTACTAACAACACCATAAATTTTTTAAAATAAAACCCTTGAATGTTTCAAAAATTACAAATAGGCCTAGAAATTTAAAAATTACAAACTGTCCCTTGAAGTTAAAAAAAACCTTAAGATTCAACAACTACAAATAAACTTTTGAATAATCCAAAAATTACAATCAACATATAAAAACCATAAAATTATAATTTCCCCCCTGAAATTTACAAAATTACTGACAATCCCTAGTAAATCTAAAAATTACAAACAATCTTCTAAAAAGGTTAAAAATACAAATATCCCATTGAAGTTTTATAAAGAACCCCCTAAAAATTTTAGAACAAGTCCCTTAAAAAGTTTAAAAAGTTAGTATATCCCCTTGAAAAATTAAAAAACTATGCTTTGAAAATTCTACAGCTAGCCCATCAAAGTTGTGAAAATAATAAAATGCCATGCTAAAAATTTCAAACTATTACAAACAACTCCCTAAAAAATTTATAAAAAACCCCATGAAAGTTTCAAAAAGTAAAATACCCCAAAGCATCACTAAAACGCCCCCTAAAAGTTTTAAAAGTTACAAATAATCCAATAAAATTTTACAAAACCCCCTGAAACCTTTACAACCATTCCTTAAAAATTTAAAAATTATAAACAACCCTCAAAAGTTTTGAAAAACACAAGAACTTTATTCAATATATTTTATTTATACGCAAATCTCTCGCAACATATAGAATTTTGTTCTCTCTCTAAATAATGAGATAAGAGGAAGAATATAATAACAACAAGAGAGCAATATCTAATGCGAGTTACAATAAATACAACTAGATAAGCTTATTACAAAAGTTTATTAGTACACATGATTTATGTCCACGAAAGTATGAATGTATGATACCTTTGCAAGATGTACATAATTTTTTTGGATGTATTTTTTATATGAATATATTGGTTAGTATTAAAGGACTTTGATGTGTGAAGAAATTATTAGTTTTATTTCAATGCCAAAAAGATACCTTTTAGATAAAAATTGTCAAAAAGATATTAATGTGTGTTTCATTTTGGTTATATATGTTCTCAAATTATAATCTATATCTACATATATATATTTATATTGTTATAATGAGCAAACTTGGCGAACTATTTTTAAAAGCATAAAGATGGAGCGGCTCAGTTAGTCACATGGCGCCATAAAAAAAACATAAAGACATGTCATGTGTTAAAAATTGTCATGTGCCCATCAATTCTATCAGAAAGAATCATCATCAAGTTAACATTATTGGTAACTCTCCTTTATATATAAGAATATTCTTTGAGATTATAAAATTATCAATTGTCTAATCTAAGAACTTCAACAACCTCATAAAAATTTAAAAATTACTAACAAAACTTTGAGATTCAAACACTATGAACAACCTGAAAATCTTAACATCCGAATAGGTCTATGAAAAATCAAAAAATTACAAACAACCTATTACGATTCAAAAATTATAAGTTATAAATTATAAATAAACATTAGAAAAATCCAACAATAACAAATACCACCGTAAAATTTAATAAATTATAAACTACCACCTTAAAATCTAATAATTATAAGCAATACCTAAAATATTCACCGTTATAAACAGTCTTCTAAAATGGTAAAAAGTTATAAATAGCCCCCCTAAAATTTTGCAAACAATCCCCCTGAAAGTTTTACAACTAGCCCCTTGAAAGTTTTTGAAACTACAAATATCCCCTTTAAAAATTTGGAAAAATTGCTTCAAGGCCCCAAAATTGAAAATACAATGTGGCCCAGCCCCCTTGTAGTTTGGCCCATGTGGCTAAGCCCTTAAATTTTCAAAAAAATGTAACTGAGCCCTAAACGCAGTTCTCACACCCGTATTTGCACCCAGCCTCCCTAAAATACCCCCGCTTTCAACTCCGTGCCTCGAAAACGAGATCCGATCGCTGGCGAAACCTCTCCGTCGCATTTAAGGCGAGATGATGGCCGTTTTGGGGGGAAATTTTGGCGCGCTCCCTCCGTTATATCTCCTGTTAACCCACTCGGCTTTGAAGAGAGTGTATTTATGGTGCAAAGGGCAGATCTTTGCGGTTAGGGCTTATGATCTTCAGCCCCCTACTTGTCCTAAAGTGCCCTTCATAACTCCTCTTAAATCCCCTTCATTTATGGCGGAGAGCCCCCTTATTTGCATGGTTTCCTTGGGTGAGAGAGCAGTGTTCTCAAGGGTAACTTCTGCAACCTCTTTTTTTGAGTTTAAGTTCGACGTAGCTGAGAGGTTGAAGGTTCCTTATGATGCGCTATCAATGGTTTATAAATCTGAAAGGATCCCTGATCTGAGTTTTGAGATCGAGAATGAGGATGATATGGAGTGTATGGTGGAGCACAACCGTAATATCGGGTGTCTGGAGATCCATATTCGAGCTAATATAGATGTAGATGTTTCCAGATGTGAGAACACCCCGAAGCAACCTCCTGAAATGTAAGTTATATTTACACTTAATTTATTTGAAAACTTATGAATTGCATAGAGCAGGTTAAATGTTAGCTTTTAATTGATATATGTTAACTTTCTACCGAAGGTTGTTAAGCTTTAGGACATATTTGTTAACTGTTAAGGGTACTGCATTATTTAAGTACAAGTCCTATTTGTTATTTTAAGAAAAACCAATTATATTTGTGCAGCATTATGAATACACTGAAGCCAAAGTTTATTGATAGTACTTCTGCCGCAAACCATGGTTCTGAAAGAATTCCAATTGATAATCCCAGTGGTAGCAGTGTAGTGCGTTCTGATGACATTATTAACAACACAGTAATGATTCCTGGTTGGTGGCATAATGCATTAACTGAAGAGGGTCAAGAATTTGAAAGTGCTGAAGAATTAAGGTTGGCGCTGACATACTATTCTCTGGCCAAAATGTTTGATTATGAGTTTAAAAAGAACGAACCAAAACGTATCCGTGTATATTGCCGATATAAAGAAACTTACGAGTGCCCATGGATGTTGTTTGCTTCACCTGTTAAGAATGCAAATAGACTATCGATCAAGAAGTTTGTTAATGAACATACTTGTGGGCAGTACGGGCAAAATACAGGTCGTTCAAGGGCATCCCGTAAATTCATTGCAACACAGTTACAACCACTCCTGAAGGTCCGTCCAGAAATCCGACCCGTTGATGTGCAAAAGGAGTTCCTCACAAACTACGGCCTTAGAATTGATTACAGTAAGATATGGTGGGGGAAAGAGAGAGCACAGGAGAAGCTTTACGGGGATATATATGAGTCGTATGATCAACTACGATGGTAAATGCTGAGCTTTATTATTAACTTGTTAAGTTTCAAAGTTTGCTTGTTAAAACAAATAGTTAACATGTTCCTTGTTAAGTTCATTGATAACATTGATAACATGTTAAGTTTCACGACTAACATGTTAACTCTTGTAAATAACATGTTAACTTTTGTTAAGTTACCCCAATAATGTGTTAGCTTTTTTTGGTCGCTTGTTAAGCTACACGGATAACATGTTAACTTGTTGGTTTGTTTCTTCTTACACGACTAGGTATGAGCGCATGGTAAAAGAGACAAATCCCGGCAGTTACATACATGTTGACCAGAATGAGGGGAGGTTTTCGAGACTCTTTGTTTGTTATGCTGCATGCATCAAAGGTTTCTTGAGTGGATGCAGACCCCTTCTATTTTTGGACGGTACATTTTTGAAGGATCGATATAAAGGTATTCTCCTCTTGGCCATAGCATACGATGGGAACCAAGGTATATTTTCCTTAGCGTATTGCATATGTGATCAAGAGAATTTGATGAATTGGAAGTGGTTCCTCCAAGGTCTATGGTCCATACTTTATGAGAGGGCTGACCCTTACAATCCTCCCCACCAATTGGTTATAATTTCTGATGCGGACAAAGGAATTAAAGAATCAGTAAAAGAGTATTTTCCAGAAGCTCTACAGTCGAGGTGTGTTCTACATCTTGTTGAAAATTTTAGGTTAAAGCTTAAGGACTTGGGTATGAAGTCGAAGGACACTCATGTTCTTGGGAACTTACTCCAAAGTGCTTGTTATAAATACACAATAGCAGAATGGAATGAGTACATGAAAGAGATATATGACATGGATCCAAGGGCATACAACATTGCTATGAACTACTCTCCTGATCAATGGGCAAATGCATTCTTCCCGGGAATAAGGTAACGTTATTTGGCTGTTCTATATCTATGCTAATGTATGAACTTATGCTATTTAGCATGTTATCTTTGGATTTGTTAAATTCTATATCAGAGCTGTTAACTATATCAGAGTTGATAACATGTTAAGTCTTGTTGATAATATGTTGAGTCTCGTTGCTAACATGTTAACTCTTGTGGGTAACGTGTCAACTCTTATTGATAACATGTTAACTCTTGTGGATAACATGTTAACTCTTGTTAATAACATGTTAACTCTTGTAGATAACATGTTAACTCTTGTAGAAAATATGTTAACTGTTAAATGTTAACTATTATATGTAAACATGTTAACTGTAATACAAAAAAAACAACTCTATTCAATTATTTGTGTCATCCCTTATTTATAACCTGTTAACTCTTATCTGTAAACTATTACCTGTAATTCATATTATGTTAACCCTATTCATTATTTGTTAACCTTTATTTGTGACCTGTTATAAAGTTATATATAATTTCAGGTATGGGCACGTAACATCTAATGTCGCTGAGTCTTTTAATAATTGGATAAGGGAAGCTAGAATGCTACAGATTCTACAAATGGTTGAGCATATCCGTAAACAGATAATAGTTCGAATGAGTAATCGTCGGTTACTTGCAGATAAATGGGTTGGATATCTCTGTCCACAAGCAGAGATGGTGCTTAAAGAAAATATAGAGAAAGGTCGTCCATTGGATGTTAAGCAAGCTGCAGCTGACATATTTGAAGTGCAAGCACATAAAACTACCCGTGTTGATTTGGAGAAGAAGACATGCACTTGCCGTGCTTGGGACGTCATGCGGATTCCGTGTAAACATGCAAGTGCAGTCATCTCGTACATGAAGAGAGACATTTACCAATATTGCGATTGGTTTATGTCCATAGAAGCATTTAAAAAGAGCTATGACCCGATTCTCTATCCTATACCAGATTATGAGAAACGAAGCGTGCCAAGGGATGAGATCGAGCTACTTCCACCACATACTATCAAAAGAAAGGGGAGAAATAAAACAAGACGTATCAACAATCGAACAGTGTACAAACGACCTTTGAAATGCTCTCGATGCCACACCGAAGGCCACAACCACGCATCTTTCAATGAACCGATCGCCGATTGATATGAGTTGCGGATTTGCCGAAACACTTTTGGGTGTATGTAATACTTTTGTAGTTAACTGTTTATATGAACTGAAACATATCTGGGTGTATGTAATACTTTTGTAGTTAACTGTTTATATGAACTGAAACATATTTGGGTGTTTGTAATACTTTTGTAGTTACCGGTGTATATGAACTGAAACATATTTGGGTGTATGTAATACTTTTGTAGTTAACTGTGTATATGAACTGAAATATATCTATGCCAATGTGAATTATAATGAAAATGTTATCTTACTTGGGTCTGTAAAGTTACTCAGTTAGATTGTTAAGTTACAGTTAACATATAAAATTTTTTTGGTAGGTTATTAAGCTACACCTATTACATGTTAACTCTTGTAAATAATATGATGGATAACATGTTAACTCTTGTTCGAAACATGTTAACTCTTATAGCTAATATGTTAACTCTTGTGGCAAACATGTTAACTCTTGTGGAAAACATGTTAACTCTTGTTGAAAACATGTTAACTCTTGTAACAAACATGTTAACTCTTTTGGCAAACATGTTAACTCTTGTGGTAAACATGTTAACTTTTGTGGAGAACATGTTAACTCTTGTTGATAACATGTTAACTTTTGTTGAAAATATGCTAACTTTCTTTGATAACTGTTAACTCTTTGACATAACAAAACTCTCGTAAGTAACATGTTAACTATTGTTGATTACAAGTAAACTCTTGATGATAACATGTTAACCCTTGTTGATACATGTAAACTCATGACGATAAAATGTTAAATCTTGTTGCCATCATGTTGACTCTTGTAGTTACCGATGTATATGAACTGAAATATGTTTGGGTGTTTGTAATAGTTTTGTAGTTAACTGTGTACATGAACTGAAATATATTAAGAAAAATGCCCCAGGGGACAGGAGCAGGGGACAGGTGAGGTGTCCCCTGCTCATTGGTTAATGTACTGTTCATGAACAGTACATTAACCAATGAGCAGGGGACACCTCACCTGTCCCCTGCTCCTGTCCCCTGGGGCATTTTTCTTAATATATTTCAGTTCATGTACACAGTTAACTACAAAACTATTACAAACACCCAAACATATTTCAGTTCATATACACCGGTAACTACAAGAGTCAACATGATGGCAACAAGATTTAACATTTTATCATCATGAGTTTACATGTATCAACAAGGATTAACATGTTATCACAAGAGTTTACTTGTAATCAACAATAGTTAACATGTTACTTACGAGAGTTTTGTTATGTCAAAGAGTTAACATTTATCAAAGAAAGTTAACATATTTCTAACAAAAGTTAACATGTTATAAACAAGCGTTAACATGTTCTCCACAAAA